GAATAAAGTGTATGTTGTGTATGCGATGAAACAGTGAGAGTATTTTTAATTAATTTCTGTTCGATGCTTATTCAGGCCTGCTGCCTATGGACGCCTTCTACTGTTGTACAACACCTAAAGCATTGAAATTAAACCTTAATATGAATTCTGCACGAGCCTTTCATCAGGTGAGGGTGCATTGAACATGTTTTTAGAAAAGCTTATTTTATGCACATAAATATTCTGAGGAATAATATGCAAACATGATACAGAAAACCTCCTTACCAGCAACAGAATAGCAAGGTTAAGAAAACCTCGGTAGTTGGTGTAACCACTGGAGCTGCTAAACAGGGAATCCCGTGCGAAGTGTAACCTAAAAGTACAGATGAAACTAAAACACACTACAATAGACAATAGACATGTAGTTATAACCAGTAATAACTATGCAATATGTTACTAAGGAACACATGATATATTAAACATTTCTGCCAGGGTGTTAACCAGGGGAAAAAATCAGGGAGTCTGAACAACTGAGCGAAGCCAGGATGCTGCAGGCGCCAAGCGCCTTAGGGGGGGGGGAGGGCTTTACCTTAAAATGGAGGAAATTTAGTCTGAAATGCCAAAAAGACAGGAATCTGATATGATTTTATATTCTTATAAGCACTGTTGTCAGTTATAAATTATAATACAAGCCAAGGTGTATAATATATAAAATTGGGCCGCCCACATGCCATCTCTATCAAATTTCATCCGTCTCATCCAAGAAAAGGCCGTTCAAAAGACGGGTTACAGACGGGTCTCTGGCTAACACACTGATTTCTGCACTCTAAAAAGTAAATACCATAAATAATTGAATTTGTGTAGCATATATACATCACATTATAGCTTCGTATCAGCTTGTTTGTTTGCTTATTTTTGACAAACATTATACACATTGTGCATTGATTGCTGCCAACTTAACTACAACAATTCTGTACACTAATGACAGAATATGGAATATAGGAAGTTCCAGTGAAAAAAATACACGGGGGCTCGGGGCGATTTAGCCCCCGAAATGCCAAAAAAAGCCCCGGAAATGCCAAAAAGAGCCCTTGCAAATTTGCATAGAGTTCAATGCAAACCAAATTTTAGAGTGCTATTTTCATGCACGCGAGCTTCAAAAGTAGCCCCCGAAAAATAAATAATATTTTTTTCCCCGATAGGAACTAGGAACTGTGGAACAGTGATAGCGGACATGACATATGGGTTTGGGTGATGGCTTCTATGTAATCAATAGGTACTGACCGGCTTCTGACAATAAAATTTAAAAACCCATGCAATTATATTTTCAAAACTAAAATTACAAATCTAGTGAATTAGTATAAATATAGCATTCACCATCGCCCAAATGATACCATCATTTAGTTATTACATCACTGATAAGGAATGTAGTCACATAGTTTTGCAACCTTTCATTATTAATTGACATGGGTGCCACCTACTAGTAAGTAGCATGTTAAGAGACAGAACATAAGTGACCAGTAATTTGGCTGAGAGTCTCAATAAGGGGCTGTGTGTTTCATCTGACATGGCACTGAACCAGAGCATGTTTGCTTGAACCGACCATTGATCCAGCTCACAGGGATTCAGTTATTTTGCACGTTTGTTTGGCTTGTAACCGACCTTGTATTGATCCTGCTAGTGAGGTGGATTCGTGGGGACCCAGTATAGAGCAGTGTGTAATATCATGTACCTAGTTACTAGTTAGTGTACACTGCTATAAAAAAGCCGGGTCATTTTTATCTTAGGACACCTGTAAATACATGATAAGAGTTGGAATTAGGTTAGGAGCAGTGTTAGGGTTAGGGTTATTGTGATGATGCATGGACATGATGTATGTATGCAGATCATAAAGTAGGATTGGGTAGCAAACAATCATACTATAATAGGTCATGATAAAAGGTCACTTGCTTAAGGAATACTTCCATACGTTTAGGCAGATCAGCACCGGGTGACCTAGCTCTAGTACTATAGCCCGCGGATCGCTGCCGCAGGGCTATAGCACATTCTGCCATAGATGTAATCTAAGCAAATGGTCCAACTGATGTGACCAAAAATTTATCCCCAAAACGTAAAATGATCGGGCTTTTTAACACTTATCTATCAACATGGACATCTCACCTATCTTTTTGAACACTTCCACAACTTTACACCAGGTATTTATGCTGTTATTCCTCAAAGTCTTAGCACTACTGGTGTTTTGTTTTCAAATGCGGTTGCTCTGCTTTAGTGCTTATGTGTGCACGCATGACTCTTCAGTGCTAAGACTTTGAGGAATAACAGCATAAATAATTATTAAATACCTGGAGGCTGGTGTAAACTTGTGGAAGTGTTCAAAAAGATAGGTGAGATGTCCATGTTGATAGATAAGTGTTAAAAAGCC